GGTTCGGTGATCGGCTGCAGGGGGAACCCGAGTATCCCCCCAGACCTTTGATTCAATTCAGATTCAGAGATTCAGCCACCGAATTGGGCTGAATTTCTGCCAAATTGAATCAAGCACCAAAGCTTCACATAGCCCTACTATGGACTTTTGCCTTCCTCATGCATGGGGCATGATCCTCTTCCTAGGATCCTGTGAACATATATTACTAATTACTTCTGTGTGACTGCTATGGTGAGGTATTGTCTGCCCCTGCTTTTATGCATGGCACATTGGGTGTTTCAGGTTTTATGCTTTGTAGTTGTGTATGTGAGGGTTTGAAGTAGTGGTCTGGGAAATTCTTGGCTGAAGTGTTGCCCATGAACATGGGGACTGGACTCAATGGCACAGGTGGCTCCTTCCATTCCTGAGTTCCTATAGCTGATCAGCAAAGAGAACTATGTCAAAGTGTAGCAGAAAGCCCCTTTTCCTCTTGCCTGCATTTGCTTTCCCATTTTTGGATATGTTTCTCCTCTTACACCGTTTCTTCCTTCCTCTTTCTTTCACTATAAGATAAGGAATTGTGTTTTAAAGTTTGTATGTGTGTATTTTGTATCTCCCCTTGTATTTTGGCATTTTTATCTATTTGTGTGCCTTGGCATTACTCTTGTAGCTTATATTTTATACTCTTCACCTTTTGAGTAAATGTGTTTTAGTTTTAGAAGTAAGTTATACACTGTAACAATGTTAACAAGGGCAGGAATCAAACTGCTGCTTACCTGTATCAGACAGGCCCTTGAAAGAGCAAGTGAATCGGTGATTGAATGCGTAACACAGTAGCAGGCTTCATTAACAAGCGGCAGTTAACACCTACGGAAACCGCAGATCAACCAACAGAAGAAATCAATAGGAGACAATGTAGCAACCGGGAATTCTCTAAACTTCACTAGAAGCCCGGGTCTGAGTTAATCAATGCTGGGGACCAACTTTTGGGGCTGAATATCTCCAGATCGACCACTTCCAGAGCCCTATTCATGACAGCGGTAAATTAATCAAAATTCATCAATGGACTCCCAAACCTGCATGTACATGCAGACAACACCTGGGGCTGACAGATGCCATCCAGTAGCCACCCAGGGGGAAATCCCACGAGGGTCAACGACCCGTGGATTGGGCAAACCTGAAAATTGGGGAGTCACCAAAGTCTGCCAAGGACAGATAAAAAGCAGTGAAAAGTGACCTTCGGTGGCGCCTCTTGATCTCCAAGGTGACCAGCACCCGACCTGTCCCCTTCTGGAGGATAACACCACGCTGGAAGAAGCCTCGACTGGCCATTGATGGTAGACCTCAGCGCTTGTAGGATAGGTATACCCAACTCTGGTGCCTCCCCCCACAAACATTTGTAGCTCGCTACTGTGTGTGTGCATGTGTGTGTGTGTGAGGGGATGAGCCCCAAGGTTTATGATCTGACTTCATTACAGTGTTTCAATCTGCCTAATAAACCAGAATTTCAAGGATCCTGAGTTGGACATTTGTAGCCAACATTATTTGGTGGAGAATGTGGGCATTATTCTAGGATTATTAGCAGATTAGTAATTGGGGAGACCATGTCTCCAGACAGAACCCACGTCCATGGAGGTGGGTGGGCAATAATCACCCAAGGGGGTGGACTAAAATTTAGACTCACCCAAGGAGGTGGGCAGAGCCAAGGAGGGTCTGGATTTAGAAGCCACCCCAGGGGGTGGACTAGGATTTAGACTCACCCAAAGGGGTGGGCAGACCCAAGGAGGGTCTGCATTTAGTTGTCACCTAAGGGGGTGGGCATATCCCAAGGAAGGGATTTGGTTGTAGAATTTCAGTGGCAGAGTGAGTTGGGAGCATGAGGGCTCAAGGAAACTGACAGGCTTGAGGCATGTTGAGGAAAATGTCTTTGTTTAGGGTAAAAACCCCTAAGGTTGGAGAAGGAGGCCAAGAGGATAAGTGGTTATGGAGTGAGGAAATTTCCCCTCTCCATAGGGAGATTCTGAAGGGTGGACCCAGCCCATGGAGGGAGGATGTGTGCACCTCAGGCTTTTCCATAGGGGACACTGAAGAACAATTTGAAAGATTTTGCTTTTGTGAAAAACCCTCGGTTCAAAGGCAACACAGTGCCTTGGTCCGGCTACTATGGTTTGCTGTAAAAACAGCAGTTGAGGAAAAAGTTCCGTGAACCTCTGAAATTGAGGAAATTGAGGAAAAGGAGGAGCAAATTCTAAAAGATAGGTGTGTCCAATTGGAAACAAGTAATCAGATTCTAAAGGGGAGCTGCGCTAAATGTATTCGGGAGGAAATGGGACCTGAAGCAATTTGAAACTGATCAAATTACACTCCGATCCTTTACAGGGCAGGAATCCACCCAGGTGGTGTGCACAGGGGTAACCACCTGCATCCAATTTCCAGAGGGACCCCAAGAGATTAATATAGATGGAGTTCAACAAGAAGGCTCCACTGAACAGTTGATTCTGGGAGCCCCTTGTTCAACTTGTTCCTGGATCTAGCCAACAGAGTTGTATGGCGAGCACAGACAGCTGACCCCTGGGAGCCTTGTGAGACAAACCCATATTGGAGGTGGGAACGGTGTAAGGAGGTTGGAGCCACTGACTCTGGCTTGGAGGATGAGTGGGTGCAGCACTTCCCTAACATATGGGCTAGGAGTAAAAGTGACTGTGGCCGGATCAATGCCTGTGTTAAGATCATAGGCGATCCAGTGCCTCCTCAAAAAGGGTATAGCTTCCCTAAGCAAGCAGAGGAAGCCATACAGTTAATTATCACAGACCTACTGCAGCAGGGAGTGATGATTGAAACCAATTCAAAACCAATTCCCCCATACGGCCTGTCCTAAAGGCGGACCGGGTATCGTGGAGGCTAACTGTTGACTATCAAGCCATTAACAACGGCTCCTATAGTGGCTAACATGCCTGCCATGCTTACGAGGATACAAGAGAGTCCCCAGTGGTTTTCTGTAATAGACCTAGCCAACTGCTTCTTTGTAATCCCCCTGCACCCCAAGTCATGGAACTGATTCGCTTTCACCTTTAAAGGGAAACAGTACACCTTTACCCGGGTCCCACAGGGGTTTCACAACGCCCTAGTCATGGCTCACCACCATGTTGTATCCATGCTCCAGAGTTTAGCTGGACCCAATCAGGAATGGGTGGTCTCTTATGTAGATGACGTATTGGTATGGGGAGATCAGGAGCGGGAGGTGAAGGAACACACGGGGAGGGTGCTGGCTCTGATCCAGAAAACTGGGTTCGGGGTCAGCAGACCAAAGGCTTAGTTAGTCATGCAAGAAGTAACCTACTTGGGTGTAAGCCTGGGGGTGGAAGGGAAAAAGTTCGATTCCCAAAAGGTCACTGCCCTATTAAACATGCCGGTTCCCAAGAATCCTCACTCCCTGCGAGTGCTGCTTGGAGGTTTTAACTTCCTCCACTCCCACATATACCAATTTGCAGAGATCACACAGCCTCTGTGGAGGCTGCTAAAGAAAAAGGTGCAGTGGGAGTGGGGTGACAGCAAGCAAAAGGCTTTTTATTTACTTAAGGAGGCATTAATCAAGGCTCCTGCTCTGGCATACCCTAACCCATTGAAGCCTTTCTATATTAAGTTGGCAATGAATGAAATAGCTCTATCAGCCGTACTACTACAAAAAAAAATTCAGACAGGAAATTGGTACCCATAGCTTACAAATGCCACAAATTGACAGGTCCAGAGAATAATTTTACTGCAGCCAGAACGAGAGTGCCTGGCTGCAGTATGGGCTGTTCAAAAATTTGAAGGACTCAGAGATGGCCCCAGTAATCATTCAGACACATCACTTACCCTTAAAATACATTTTGTCAGGAAACCTGACAGGGTCTAAAGTGTCCAACACCCAGATCGCCCAGTGGGCATTGTTCCTGACCAGACAGGGAGTTGGACATAAAACCCAGTCTAAGGTGGATATGCTCCCATATGTCTTGTTAATAGAAGGCACTACTCACCAGTGCCCTGATAGAGACCCTTGCCAAGGGAACACGGGGGTCCCTGAGGCTCCACCGCTGGAAAAAAACCCAGCAGTGAAGGATCAGCCTACCCATATATGTTTTACAGATGGGAGCACTAGCTTTGAAAATGGAAAGTGGTTTACTGGATATAGAGGGGTGAATTTAAATAATGATCAGATAGGGGGTCCCTTGCCAGCGGGGTACTCAGCTCAAGCTGCTGAAGTACGAGCCCTGAGGGAACTCCTTGAACAGCATAATCCATCTGAAGGGAAATTATGCATCTACACTGACTCTTACTTCTGTGCTAAGGCTCTGCTATACTGGATATATAATTGGAACAAAGCTAATTGGCATGCTGCTGATGGCAAAGAAATTGCACAAACGGGTGATTGGCAGACAATTTGGGGATGGATTCAAAGGTGCCCATCCTCACTATACATTCAACATGTTAAAGGTCATCAAAAGGCTGATACTTTAGAAGCCAAAGTGAACCAATTAGCAGATGCTGCAGCAAAGAAAGGAGCACGGGGAGACATTGCCATGGCGCAAACCCGGTCCTCAAGCCACCAAAATGTAAGATTCAGGAGGAGTATGCTGTTCATCAGGAAACTGGAGAAGTTAGGTGGGTACCACCTCCAGAGTATAGAGAGGAAATCATAACTGCTTGTCACAGCCTCAGGCACGAAGCATCTGAAGCCACAACAGCTAGGGTGCAGGAAATTGCCTACTGGCCAGGGATGTCCAAAGATGTGAAGGAGTGGGTGCAGAATTGCTTACGCTGTGCAGGGGAGGGAGCAAAACCAAAAGACCCCGGACTTCTCTTCCATCAAAAGCTAGTGGGTCCATGGCAACGGATCCAAAAGGATTACATTGACAAGCTTCCCCACACAGCACAAGGAAACCAGTACTTGTTAGTGGTTATGGACTCCTTCAGCAGGTGGGTGGAGGCATTCCCTATGCGCACCCACACTGCTGAAGCCACAGCAAAGAAACTCTGGACAGAGGTAAGATGCCGGTTTGGAGCTCCTAAAATCATGGACTCAGACCGAGGTCCCCATTTCACTGGGGCTGTTGTTAAGCAACTGCTGCAAGCCTTAGGTATCAGGCAGCAGTGGCACATTCCTCACCACCCTCAGGCATCTAGGCAGGTAGAGCGAATTAATAGGACAATTAAGGAGTCGCTAAGGAAGGTGGTAAATCAAACAGGTACAGACTGGGATCTTAAGCTTCCTTTGATCTTAGCTGCTCTCCGGAGCAGGAACTGCTTGGGAACCAGCCTCCAGCCCTACCAAATTCTATTTCGCAAGCAGTTGGCTCTAATACTCACCGGACTTATGCCATACCCAGACAATCTGGACAATCCACAGCCCACAGAAATTATTGAATGGGTGAAAGAGCTCACATATTGTTTGAGGCAACAGGAGCTGCAGATTAATGAAGCTATTCAGCAAGCTCGGCTGCGGATGGACAAGCAGCTCGAACAGCTTCCCAGGCTTTGGGAAACTGGACAGTTGGTCATGTACCTTAGACTCACCCCAAAGGCACATGTCCTGGAGTCCAAATGGATCAGACCCTTCACTATTATCAATTGATTGAGCCCAAGCGTGGTCCAAATTGATAAAGGGGAATCGGGAAAATGGGTACATTTGTCTCAGCTGAAACTGTTTGAGGGGACAGAATAGATCTAACCCTGAATCTAGCCTTGTTAGTAGGATTCCTTGTGTCATGAGGAGAGCATCCCAGTGACCCAGCTTGGAGAAAAAGAAAAAAAAAAAGAAGTGAGCCACCAACCACCTGACCCTCGAGGAACAGGTTAACCAATCTCTTAATCCTGCTGGCCACCCTTCTTGGCTAGCAGGAAGGAACGGCTCTGAGCCATTGGTAGATACGCATCGGATGGGCTGATCAGTGCCCACCTTATTGTTGAGGCAGGGAGAGGCAGAGAAGTCTTTGACTTGTGATGGCCATCCTCCTGTAGGTAATTGCTCCACTTGTTTGCAATATTCTGCATTAAAACAGGTAACGCCAATTAATCTCCCTCTCCTCCTCCCCTACCATTCTAAACCAACTTTTCCTTTAATATAGAAATTTGATATGGAGACCCTAAGCCTATGGGGAGTCCTCTTCCTGTGGATTCTTCCAGTTAATGGCAGCCTTCACTGTAATTTAGACAGTGAACTGACATTACAGATCAAAAGTGTTAAGTGCTGTCTAGAGGTAATTAGTGTTGACAGCAGCCTTGAAGACATCCAAGACTCACAGTGGCCCTCTCCCCAGCCAAAAGGATGCCAACTCTGGGCCGCCCAGTCTTGGCAAATTCAAAATGGTATGAGTGAAGTCAGCCTGCAGGATCCCTTTAAACCTATCTGCTTCCTTAAGTCCAGGTGTAATCCCCAGGCGGAATGTGTCCATGTAGGACTGAACTCCAGCCTGGAAATCCGAGATTACCAGGGTGGCAAGGTCTGGAGAACCACCAGGATTTCCTTCCCAGCAGGGGACGGGGAATAGTAGGGTGTATGTGGGATGCATTAGTAGGGTGCACTGGGCACTCTTTCATCTTCAGACTGGTTCACCCACCTAAACCTGCACCTATCCCCATAGCATCTACAACCCTGCCACTTTCACCACCACCTCCCACTTGCTCCTGTATACCATGGAACCTCTCCAGCCCCCTGACTGCTGGGGAACACACCATCCAAGTGTGTTGGGGCAGTAATAGTGCTAACCCAGATCTCCCAGCATGAATAACCATCAGCTTTCCTCAAGGACAGCTACCTGTCGACCTTACCCACCCAAAATGTGGACCCACAAACATTACCCTGAATGACACCAGCTGCCCTGAGCAATGCCCTCTGTCCAGCTGTGGCACCCTAGTATACAGTTTCTCCCTATCCAGTTCTGGAAGGTGGAGAGC